TTATAACATGCAAGTTGGGGCGCTGACGGGCACGTCCCAAGTATGTCTTTCCCGTGCTCATACGTTTGCCATTTTCCACCGTGCCAGGCGCACGTGTACAACCAATGGCAGCGCCTTCATCGCCGATTCGCTGGACGCGCGGCACGCCTAGCGCTGCCGAGGCATTACAAATCAAATTCAATAAATCATCGTAGTAGAAATTGAAATCGTTGAGTACGACATGGCCCATTGGATTGGTGCTATTGCCGACCGGCGTTACAGCTTTTCGGAAATAGGGCAGCACATCATTCCAACCCCAGCCTACATTGCCTTTCGCAAGCCAGCTATCGTAGTCGCGTCGATTTCCACGCAGAAAAAGCATACCATTTATTCCGCCCGTGCCGCCAACCATTTTACCGCGAGGCCAGTAGCATGAGCGATCACGCGCCGCATAGCAGGCGGATGTCTGCGGCTCAGTGTAGTAGTGCCAGTTGAAATTCGTAAACATTCCGTATGAGTATATACTGGGCATCTTACGATTGTCAAAGAGGAAGTTAAATATTAAAAAAACAAAAATGACCGAAGAAAATAACCTGCATACCTCAGACTCCTGTGGCGGATCACCGCCGGCCTCCAACACGAGCACCTTCCAATTGCGGTTCTCACTCAAACGACTAGCAACTACTGAACCTGCCGACCCAGCGCCAACCACAACAAAGTCGTACGCCTCCAAGCCCTTTTCCAGCGCCAAATCGCCATAGTCCTCGGGCCAGTTCTCCTTTGCAGATATTGCACATTGTGCTGTGATGAGCGTTTGTAACAGGGAGCCCAGCAAGTTGTTCAACGTGCCCACAGAGGGATTGGGACAGTGCGCGTGTAAAATGGGTGCAGACATTTGTTGCGTATGAACGTACAGAGCGTTTTACTCAGTTTGTAAGCAAGAATATACTACAATTGCTTTAAAATAGCTGACTTTTGTTTTATTTCAGAACAGATGTGAGGTGAATGCCATCGAGGTGAAATACAAAGAGGAAATACGTGTCATACACAATGCTTTATTTACTTAGCTTNTGGCACCTTTAAGCCTAAGTTGTTCGAAAACTAATATCGAATCTAATATCTTTAGGATCAGATTCGGATTCTATTCCTATAACAATCTGCTATAATATTTTAGTCAACATAAGATTGTTTAAATTTTGTTGGCCTGTGTAATAATAGTTTGGTGCTTACACATACGTTAGTGTATGGCCGAGCTTCTCCTCCGATTTGTGGAGTGCGCTTTGATGCTGTTACACAAAGGGGAGGGACCTACAGTTTTACGCCGACTCCGTGTACACGATAACTCGAGCAAGAGTTTAGATATCTCAACGACATTTGGTATTTATCCAAGGTAGGTTGGTATTGAAAATGGGCGAAATCGGACCCACTTCCCATATAACGGTACTTTCGAAAAATGCAAAAACTACGATATTTGAGTAAATATTAGATGCAAATTGTTGAGAATTAATATGTGAAGAACGATTTTGGTACAAAATAATATTGTTATGAACTTTTTGGAAAATGGGCGTGACCCCGCCCACTTATGATTAGATGCTGTATCTCAGTAGCCGCTTCACCAATCCTTCTGAAACTCGGTACGGTGTAGCTAAGAAATCTGTTGAAAATATTTGAAATCGGGCAATAACCACGCCCACCTGCCATATAACGGTAATTTACAGAAACACGCAAACTGCGATAAATCAGTAACTAAATTTACTCTGAGTTAATAGTTACAACAATCTTTTAACAATAAATAATACTGCTATAGCTCTTTTAAGAATTGGGCGTGGCACCGCCTACTTGATAACTACAAGGGTGTATCTCGGTATCTACTTTATCGATTTTTACCAAACGTGGTTCAATTCCATCATTAAGCCTAACCCAGCATATTATCGAAAACGTGTGAAAGCGGGGAAAACACCCCTACTTATCATGCAAGGGTAGTTTAGAGAAAGTTGAAACGACGTTATTTGATACCTGCGCTGGGTATATAAAGTTTGGCTTCGCCCGAGCTTATACTTCTTTACTTGTTTGATGTTGGTTTGCACAGGCCTTGAACCCAGGCCCTGCGGTCATCAGGAAAGCAGCGGAATATGTTCAAATAAGGGCTCAAGTAAGAGTGAAAGGATTCTGTATATGCAAAGAGAAAGAGGTCAAAACGAAATAAATAGTTTCTTGTGGTTCGCCATTGACACAAAGGACAAAAAAAAATTGCAAATAAATCGTTTATTAATCCGCAATAATTAGAATACGATAACATTAGGAAAAAAGTNGTTCAATTACATCATTAAGCCTAACTCAGCATATTATCGAAAAACACCCCTACTTATCATGCAAGGGTAGTTTAGAGAAAGTTGAAACGACGATATTTGATACCTGCGCTGGGTATATAAAGTTTGGCTTCGCCCGAGCTTATACTTATTTACTTGTTTGATGTTGGTTTGCACCGGGCTTGAACCCAGGCCCTGCGGTCATCAGGAAAGCAGCGGAACATGTTCAAATAAGGGCTCAAGTAAGAGTGAAAGGATTCTGTATATGCAAAAAGAAAGAGGTCAAAACGAAATAAATAGTTTCTTGTGGTTCGCCATTGACACAAAGGACAAAAAAAAAATTGCAAATAAATCGTTTATTAATCCGCAATAATTAGAATACGATAACATTAGGAAAAAAGTGATCAAATGAGGGAGCCGCGATTCTATTTCTATTACAAATCTACATATACATATATCTTACTGGGCTCCGGCTCTAACATAGAAAATACAGAACCACCCGCCCAGCGTTATTATCCCTTTGCGTCCAATGGCGTCCAGTCGTCCTTTATGAAGTCCGCGGCGCGTTCCGCAATCATAATGGTCGCTGCATTCGTATTCGCGCTCACCACGTCAGGCATAATGCTTGCATCAGCGACGCGCACATTCCAAGCGCCACGCAGTCGTAGCCGAGGACTAACACACGCAGTGGAATCGCCAGATGGGCCCATTTTCACAGTGCCTGTTACGTGGAATGACGTTGTGGAGAAGTATTTAATGTAGCAGCGCCAATAGGCATCACTTCTATATACCCATTTATCACATTCCTTTATAGGTATACGCAGAATAGTGGCATTTACAGCGCGGTAGGCATGAGTACGCACAAGACGTTCCTGGAAACGCACTCCGCGCAACATACTCTCCAAATCCTCGGGATCATCAAGGTAGTTGGGTATAATGCGCGGATTGTCCTTATAGTTCCTACTACTTAGGCGCACCAGTCCTGTCGATTTTGGATGCGAGAGTACATTGAATATATTCATCATATCAGTTTGGTTTATAATGTTGCTTAAATAATTAGCGTACTGTGGTTGCATAGCGGAGATATCTGTGGAAAGCTTCACAGCATCAATGTCGCTGTAGTGAAAGAAGATATTGTGGAATTCCGTGGTAGGGTACGTTACGTTACTATTTGGCACTGTATTGACGAAACTCACTACTGAAGTGGTGGAATGACTAGAGAGCGGGCCTTTGCCATACATCAGATAGTTAAACATGTTTTCCATGATTTTAGCTTGCCCATTGCGCTCCTTCGGACGCGCCTGCAACTTAAAATACAGCAAGGTCATTAGATGATCCTGCAGGTTGTTGCCAACAGGTAAATCATGCAGCACTGGTATTTGCAAACTATTCAGATGCTCCCTCGGTCCTACTCCCGACAGCATTAGTAGCTTAGGAGACTCGATTGTGCCCGCCGACACCACTACCTCACGCTGAATTCTCGCCGTCATTTTGTGTATATCTCGTAATACGAATGAGACCGACACAGCGCGTCGACCACTAATATCGAAGTTGATCTTTGTAACATGTGCGTTCTTTATAACATGCAAGTTGGGGCGCTGACGGGCACGTCCCAAGTATGTCTTGGCTGTGCTCATACGTTTGCCATTTTCCACCGTGCCAGGCACGCGTGTACAACCAATAGCAGCGCCATCATCGCCGATCCGCTGGACGCGCGGTACGCCCAGCACCGCCGAGGCGTTACAAACCAAATTCAATATATCATCATAGTAGAAATTGAAGTCGTTAAGTACGACATGTCCCATTGGATTGGTGCTATTTCCGACCGGCGTCACAGCTTTTTGGAAATAGGGCAGCACATCATTCCAACCCCAGCCTATATTGCCTTTCGCAAGCCAGCTATCGAAGTCGCGTCGATTTCCACGCACAAAAAGCATACCATTTATGCCGCCCGTGCCGCCAATCATTTTACCGCGAGGCCAGTAGCATGAGCGATCACGCGCCGCATAGCAGGCGGATGTCTGTGGCTCAGTGTAGTAGTTCCAGGTGTTATTCGTCAACATTGCGTATGAGTATAAACTGGGAATCTTACAATTGACAAAGAGGAAGTTAAATATTATTAAAAAAAATAAAAAATGACTGTAGAAAAAAAACCTGCATACATCAGACTCCTGTGGAGGATCACCGCCGGCCTCCAACACGAGCACCTTCCAGTTGCGGTTCTCACTCAAACGACTAGCAACAACTGAACCTGCCGACCCAGCGCCAACCACAACAAAGTCGTACGTCTCCAAGCCCTTTTCCAGCGCCAAATCGCCATAGTCCTCGGGCCAGTTCTCCTTTGCAGATATTGCACATTGTGCTGTGATGAGCGTTTGTAACAGGGAGCCCAGCAAGTTGTTCAACGTGCCCACAGAGGGATTGGGACAGTGCGCGTGTAAAATGGGTGCAGACATTTGTTGCGTATGAACGTACAGAGCGTTTTACTCAGTTTGTAAGCAAGAATATACTACAATTGCTTTAAAATAGCTGACTTTTGTTTTATTTCAGAACAGATGTGAGGTGAATGCCATCGAGGTGAAATACAAAGAGGAAATACGTGTCATACACAATGCTTTATTTACTTAGCTTAAACGACTAAGTTCCCGGATAAAATACGATAGCCGTAAATATGTAAATACATAAATAAGCACGCGTACGACTGAAGAATAAACAGTCTTTGATACAACTTCTATTTGCAGAAAGATGCGATTGAACTTGAGAAAAAATTGTTCGCTGACGCAAGTTTGCGCCATCAGTCTTTGTGAACGGAATTATCGCCAATGCCTGTTAAGCGATTATTAAGGATCTCTCTTCTTTTGAGTAGCGCACCATGTTAGTTTTAGAGTGAATAGAGAAACTTAACTTCATGCCAAGGGGTAATACTTTGGATATGAGGATAATAATAATAACACTGCCCAGCAAAATTCTGTTGCGTAAAATATTGCAGCCGATTCTTATAAGATTTTGATCGAATCTGATCTTGAATTTTTTTTCCAGTTTTTAAGTTTTCAAGCAACTTGGGGTTAAAGGTGTCTTCCTCTCCACTGCTAGATTTCCACTGCTAGAGTCAGTTCTACTTCAAAGAGTGGTACAGGAATTTCTGCAGTATGTAGATAAAGGCCGTTAACCCTTTAACCATATTTTTTTTAATTTTGAGTATTTAAGGGCAGTGTTTAGGCTTTCATATCCTCCCACACAGACAGATATATGGCATCAATATATTGTTTTACAGAGGCTCAAAAATGTTCAAAAACGGTTTTTTGGCACCTTTAAGCCTAAGTTGCTCGAAAACTAATATCAAATCTAATATCTTTAGGGTCAGATTCGGATTCTGCGGGAAAAATCGTATAACAATCAGCTATAATATTTTAGTCAACATAAGATTGTTTAAATTTTGTTGGCCTGTATAATAATAGTTTGGTGCTTACACATACGTTAGTGTATGGCCGAGCTTCTCCTCCGATTTGTGGAGTGCGCTTTGATGCTGTTACACAAAGGGGAGGGACCTACAGTTTTACGCCGACTCCGTGTACACGATAACTCGAGCAAGAATTTAGATATCTCAACGACATTTGGTATTTATCCAAGGTAGGTTGGTATTGAAAATGGGCGAAATCGGACCCACTTCCCATATAACGGTACTTTCGAAAAATGCAAAAACTACGATATTTGAGTAAATATTAGATGCAAATTGTTGAGAATTAATATGTGAAGAACGATTTTGGTACAAAATAATATTGTTATGAACTTTTTGGAAAATGGGCGTGACCCCGCCCACTTATGATTAGATGCTGTATCTCAGTAGCCGCTTCACCAATCCTTCTGAAACTCGGTACGGTGTAGCTAAGAAATCTGTTGAAAATATTTGAAATCGGGCAATAACCACGCCCACCTGCCATATAACGGTAATTTACAGAAACACGCAAACTGCGATAAATCAGTAACTAAATTTACTTCTGAGTTAATAGTTACAACACACTTTTAACAATAAATAATACTGCTATAGCTTTAAAAAAAAAAAAAAAATTGGGCGTGGCACCGCCCACATGATAACAACGTGGTTCAATTACATCATTAAGCCTAACTCAGCATATTATCGAAAAACACCCCTACTTATCATGCAAGGGTAGTTTAGAGAAAGTTGAAACGACGATATTTGATACCTGCGCTGGGTATATAAAGTTTGGCTTCGCCCGAGCTTATACTTATTTACTTGTTTGATGTTGGTTTGCACCGGGCTTGAACCCAGGCCCTGCGGTCATCAGGAAAGCAGCGGAACATGTTCAAATAAGGGCTCAAGTAAGAGTGAAAGGATTCTGTATATGCAAAAAGAAAGAGGTCAAAACGAAATAAATAGTTTCTTGTGGTTCGCCATTGACACAAAGGACAAAAAAAAAATTGCAAATAAATCGTTTATTAATCCGCAATAATTAGAATACGATAACATTAGGAAAAAAGTGATCAAATGAGGGAGCCGCGATTCTATTTCTATTACAAATCTACATATACATATATCTTACTGGGCTCCGGCTCTAACATAGAAAATACAGAACCACCCGCCCAGCGTTATTATCCCTTTGCGTCCAATGGCGTCCAGTCGTCCTTTATGAAGTCCGCGGCGCGTTCCGCAATCATAATGGTCGCTGCATTCGTATTCGCGCTCACCACGTCAGGCATAATGCTTGCATCAGCGACGCGCACATTCCAAGCGCCACGCAGTCGTAGCCGAGGACTAACACACGCAGTGGAATCGCCAGATGGGCCCATTTTCACAGTGCCTGTTACGTGGAATGACGTTGTGGAGAAGTATTTAATGTAGCAGCGCCAATAGGCATCACTTCTATATACCCATTTATCACATTCCTTTATAGGTATACGCAGAATAGTGGCATTTACAGCGCGGTAGGCATGAGTACGCACAAGACGTTCCTGGAAACGCACTCCGCGCAACATACTCTCCAAATCCTCGGGATCATCAAGGTAGTTGGGTATAATGCGCGGATTGTCCTTATAGTTCCTACTACTTAGGCGCACCAGTCCTGTCGATTTTGGATGCGAGAGTACATTGAATATATTCATCATATCAGTTTGGTTTATAATGTTGCTTAAATAATTAGCGTACTGTGGTTGCATAGCGGAGATATCTGTGGAAAGCTTCACAGCATCAATGTCGCTGTAGTGAAAGAAGATATTGTGGAATTCCGTGGTAGGGTACGTTACGTTACTATTTGGCACTGTATTGACGAAACTCACTACTGAAGTGGTGGAATGACTAGAGAGCGGGCCTTTGCCATACATCAGATAGTTAAACATGTTTTCCATGATTTTAGCTTGCCCATTGCGCTCCTTCGGACGCGCCTGCAACTTAAAATACAGCAAGGTCATTAGATGATCCTGCAGGTTGTTGCCAACAGGTAAATCATGCAGCACTGGTATTTGCAAACTATTCAGATGCTCCCTCGGTCCTACTCCCGACAGCATTAGTAGCTTAGGAGACTCGATTGTGCCCGCTGAAACCACTAGCTCACGCTGAATTCTCGCCGACATTTTGTATCTATCTCGTAATACGAATGACACCGACACAGCGCGTCGCCCACTAGTATCGAAGTTGATCTTTGTGACATGTGCGTTCTTTATAACATGCAAGTTGGGGCGCTGACGGGCACGTCCCAAGTATGTTTTGGCTGTGCTCATACGTTTGCCATTTTCCACCGTGCCAGGCACGCGTGTACAACCAATAGCAGCGCCATCATCGCCGATCCGCTGGACGCGCGGTACGCCCAGCACCGCCGAGGCGTTACAAACCAAATTCAATATATCATCATAGTAGAAATTGAAGTCGTTAAGTACGACATGTCCCATTGGATTGGTGCTATTTCCGACCGGCGTTACAGCTTTTTGGAAATAGGGCAGCACATCATTCCAACCCCAGCCTACATTACCTTTCGCAAGCCAGCTATCGAAGTCGCGTCGATTTCCACGCACAAAAAGCATACCATTTATACCGCCCGTGCCGCCAATCATTTTACCGCGAGGCCAGTAGCATGAGCGATCACGCGCCGCATAGCAGGCGGATGTCTGTGGCTCAGTGTAGTAGTTCCAGGTGTTATTCGTCAACATTGCGTATGAGTATAAACTGGGAATCTTACAATTGACAAAGAGGAAGTTAAATATTATTAAAAAAAATAAAAAATGACTGTAGAAAAAAAACCTGCATACATCAGACTCCTGTGGAGGATCACCGCCGGCCTCCAACACGAGCACCTTCCAGTTGCGGTTCTCACTCAAACGACTAGCAACAACTGAACCTGCCGACCCAGCGCCAACCACAACAAAGTCGTACGTCTCCAAGCCCTTTTCCAGCGCCAAATCGCCATAGTCCTCGGGCCAGTTCTGCTTTGCAGATATTGCACATTGTGCTGTGATGAGCGTTTGTAACAGGGAGCCCAGCAAGTTGTTCAACGTGCCCACAGAGGGATTGGGACAGTGCGCGTGTAAAATGGGTGCAGACATTTGTTGCGTATGAACGTACAGAGCGTTTTACTCAGTTTGTAAGCAAGAATATACTACAATTGCTTTAAAATAGCTGACTTTTGTTTTATTTCAGAACAGTTGTGAGGTGAAATACAAAGAGGAAATACGTGTCATACACAATGCTTTATTTACTTAGCTTAAACGACTAAGTTTCCGGACAAAATACGATAACAGTAAATAAATACATAAATATGCTCGCATACGGCTGAAGAATAAACATTCTTTGATGCAACCTTTATTTGCAGAAAGATGCGATTGAACTTGAGAAAACAAATTATTCGCAGACGCAAATTTTTGCCATGAGTCTGCGTAAACAGAATTATCGGCAATGCCCCCCTACAGCTACATAACGAAGGAGAAATTTTCAAAAATCAAGAAATAAAAAGTACAAAATTGTATGCTTAATCGAATTCGTTCTCTTAATCGAAAATGTTCTCAATTTCCACATTAGGTCTGAGTTTTTCTTTGCTGATACAATGAAGTAATCACAGCGTTAAGCATTGAATTGTTATAGAATTGAATGAAACACGCGTTTGAGTTTCGCTGACCGTTCTGTGATGAACAGGATGGAAAAACCCAACGAGAAGAACAAGCACGCAAGATGGTCGGAAGAATATAAGGCTATCAGGAAGTTTTCACAAAATTTTCCTGAAGTTGTGGAAGCTTTAAAAATTGGTAAATTCAGGGAAACTTTTCCACAAGTAAGTCTGCGTATCAATTGTGTGCTGCTATAACAAGGCCGATGTTCATCATTGCCTTAATGGCAATTGCTAAATATTAAACGTTGCTGGAACCTACAACACACATTTTGCAATTGAAGACAACAGACCTTATCGCCGTTGATCAGCATATTGAAAATATTTTGGAGGTGGTTACGAATGATCGAAAGACTGCAGAAGGTGTCAATACGGAGTTAATTAAAAAATCTCGTATGATTACAAGTATAAATTTCTTTACCACATTTGGCAGGTAAACAAAAAATAGAAGTAAAACCCGTCGGTGTCGGTCAATGAAAATGAGTACTGGCGACGGTCTATAATAAAACCGTATATGGACTCACTAAAGGCTTCTTTACAACTACACTTTTCCAATGAAAATACTCCAGCTTTTTCACTGTCTAGATTGCACCCACTGTATTCTATTAAATATTTCAGGTACAAAAGAACGCGAAGCATTTTTAACAGATCTATGACCTAGATATGGGCAACGAACTCATTCTTTGGTACAATTTATGGAATAAAAAGAACTTGTCGGAAGAATTGTAGGATGTTGGAAATTGTAAATCTATTTAAAGAAGAAAAGAATTTTTAACAGCGATACCATGCACAACAGCGACTGTGGAGCGATCGTTTAGTACACTTCGAACAGTAAAAACCTGGCTCAGAAGCACAACAGGAGAAGAAAGGCTTTCTAGACTATGCCACATGGGCGTCCATAGAAAAGTCGTTACCGAGAACCGCAAGATGATTCAGGAGGAAATAATCGAAAAGTTTGCTTAAAAACCGAGGCGTTTGTTATTAGCGTAAAAATGATTAGATAAAAAATATGTAAAAAAATTAACCAGTATATTTCGTTTATTTTCTTGTGGTTCCCCATTGACGAACCTGACAGCTAAAGCCTCTTGGAATCTAACTCACCCAATAGAGATCTTTAAAGCACACATGCATATAAACCTATGTACATATCGAGGCCTAAAGCTGCCTTTACACGGGTCGATTTCTGTTGACTGGAAAATCGACTAGCCAAAGCATTTACATTTTACGGTTAAATTGCCATTTACACGGGTCGATTTTGGCTGAACGACAAAAATTGACTAGAAAATCGAACCGTGTAAAGGCAGCATAAGCCTTTAAAAATTTTTAAAAATGTTGCGAACGTTTTTTGGCAATATGTATGTATATCTTCTACCCATGTACTATGGGCCAGAAACTAAAAAATTATTTACAGTTGAGTTAGTCTCACCAAATTTCGCATGCAGAGTACCTCGGACGACAGAAGTGGTTCAGAAAAATATGGACCCCCTTGCCAGAGGTTCTCCTATAAAGAGGCTTAAAAAAATTAAATTTGTTTTATCTAAGCTTGAATATTTTTGCAAATTAACGGTCAAACCACACCCCTTTTTCTTTGGTGTATCCATATAAAAGCCAGACCTGGAGTCTGTCACTAAGCTATTGTCACAAAGCTTTGCCCCGAATACCGCAAATAAAGTTTTCTTCAATTCTATTTAATTAATTTTTATTTTTTTAGTAAATCCTAATATAAAAAAAATACTCCTAAAGTCAGTCTGGAAAGACAGATAATAGTTTTGTTCGCTCATGCAAAAACTTGTACAAGCTGGTACCAATTGTTACCGAATCGCGTTCATTTGGACCAAAAGTTGTAAAACTTGCAAAGAGAGAGCACAATTTTGACATTTCATTTGGAGGGGAAGTTGCAAATTCATGCTGGGAAAATTTTTGCAGGCAAGGATTATGACACACGGTTGCATTTTTGTCAACAATAATTTAAACCAACAAGTTCGTTAAATTTAAAAATGTAAATCTTGACGTGATTTACTAATTTTTAGCAAAAAAAAACCGACTTTAATTCTAATATAAAAATATATATATGTATATCTCATGATCTACTGATCGGATCTTAACGAGATTAGTAAAAAATAAACCTTGGATTATAACTTATCGGCGAAATAAAAAATATGTTTCATCTAATAACTGTTATGAAACAACGTTTTCGTTAAATTTCAAAATTCGGGAAACGTTTTCAATTTGAAAATTCGAGATAACAGTTATTTTTCGTCCCCGCTTCTAACAGCTAGTTGAGAAGTAGAAGGCACCACCGCTTCGGGGATTTTGAAAAGCCCAATTACTTCACGCGCAAATGGCAGTTTTTATGTCTGCGTTCATACAAAAATAAACTTGATGATAATGGATCACAGCTATCCACCGTTCTGTGATACGTATCAAGTATATCAATGGCTGAGTGGAAGATCGACCTATCTCGGTAGCCAGTTCGAAAACGCCCTATCTCAGACAACTTTCCAAGAACGCCCTACTTCAGAATTTTATTGAAAAATACCGTATCTCAGAATTTGGTTCATAAACGCTCTATTTCAAACGAAAATACATTGAAAATAAGCTGAGATAGGGCGTTTTCGAATCGGCAGCTCGGGTAGGGTGTTCTTCAACCGAATTCTGAGATGGGGCCTTCTTGAATTGGCTGCCGAGATAGGCCGATCTTCCACTAACCCATCGATATTATGTATTCTGGAATCATTTTTCTGTCGTTTTTTGCAAAATATAATACTGTTACAAAAAACCTGATGTTTTAAAAACAAATTGCAAGTATAATACTCCCTTAACAATTGTTAACAACACAAGTCCTACTCCGAGAAATATGACAAATATCAAAATAAGCACTAATGGCAAGTATTTAACTAAACATGGTATTTCAGGTCTAAGTAAATAACTCCAATGTTGGGATCCATGTTCATAAAAAATTGGATTGCGAATATATTTTGCAAAACCACTTTTTACCTTTTTTAATAAAATTTAAACATCAACAGCTGTCTAAGCAGTTTGCCGACTGTCATCATTTTTTTTCGAAATTTCCCCCCATTTTATTACAAATCGACCACCAACAAATACTTTGTACAAAGCGAAAGTTTAAGAACTGACTTTTTGCCAATAAAAATGAAAATGGTCCCATAGTGCCATGGTACAGTATTGTAAAATGCTATTCTTTAAACAATGCAGTAAAGAAATCAGTAATTGGGTCACAACTGCAGTTTAAATGCCTCAACTGGCTTAAACTCGAAATGTAAAAACACGAAAACAAAAATAATATTTTAAACAAAACCGTCATGACGAACACTTCGATACAGCTGCCATGCGCGGCGCAAAGTGTCGGCGCAGTCAATAGTCTAGTTACCACACTGTTCCAAACGATATTAACAGCACAATGCGCGCTTTCTGCAAAGTCCGACTGGCCTCCGGACTACGGCGATGAGGCACTGAACGATGGTATCGGGAAATACGATTTCATAGTTATAGGTGCTGGCTCGGCAGGCTCGGTTGTTGCCAGTCGTTTGTGCGAGAACGCCAAGTGGAAAGTGCTGGTGTTGGAGGCGGGCGATGACCCACCACAGGAGTCAGAGGTGCTGCAAGTTTCATATTTCACTTATCTTAACTACAGCTAAATTTTTTTCAGATTCCCGGCTTGCATATTTATTTGGAGCGCACTCGTTATTCTTGGGATTACTACTCGGAACCACAACCACACATTTGTCAAGCGCTAAAACGTCGATTATGCTACACTCCGCGCGGTAAGCTCATAGGCGGCACAGGCGCAATAAATGGCATGATATACGTGAAGGGGCATCGCCAGGATTTCGACGATTGGCTGGCAGCGGGCAATACACAGTGGGGCTGGGCTGATGTGAAGCAATTTTATGAGCGCGCTGTGAGCCCTGTGGGCAATGCCACGCATCCCATGGGCTATGTGGTGCTCGACGCAAACAAAGATGTAGGAAGTATGCTACTGAACGGCGCCATTTTTAATGCTACCGCAGAATTGGGTGTGCCCTCCAGGTCGGCGTTCGAAGATGGCATAGAAGTAGGCACTGCATTCTTGCCGGTAACTAATAGCAATGGTAGACGCACGTCTACTGGGAAGACATATTTGGCCAAGGTTTCGAGGCGACCGAATCTGCATGTGATCAAAAATGCGCACGTGCACAAAATCCATTTCGATAGTAGCGGCAAGCGGGCCACCAGGGTAACATTTTCGTTGCGCGAGAGTTATGAGTTGAGTGCTGAGGTGCGCAAGGAGGTGGTGCTCTCGGCAGGCACCATAGATTCGCCCAAGTTGCTGATGTTATCGGGCGTGGGACCGCGCAAGCATCTTGAAAAACTGGACATACCGGTGGTACACGATCTGCCAGTTGGTTCAAATCTGCGCGATCACGTAAGCCTAATGGTTCATTTTAAATTGGAAAACACATCTTTCGACGCGTTGGAGCAGACGAGGCACATCGATTTATTATACCAATTCCTGACTCGCAACAACAGTCGGTTGGTTAATGGATCAAGTAGTATCACCTCCTTCGTGAACACCAAAAGGGATAGCGATTTACCAGATATGCAATATCACTACGCACTAAACCAACAAGGCGATGTTGAGTCCCTCGGAGTTTATTTTGCGCGACGTGACCAAAAGTACACAGCGAGCTTAATTCGGCAATTAAGGAAGTCACATTTGATCTCCTTTTTATTGTTGTCGACCAAGCCTCGCTCCGTAGGCAAAATACGTCTGCGCAGTTCCGATTACCTTGATCATCCACGCATCTTTTCGAATTATCTTAGTGATCCCGAAGACATGGCGACTATACTGCGAGGGATACGCTTCATCGAACGGTTAGAGGGCACAAAGGCCATGCGGGAACTAAATGCAACCCTGTTCCGTATACCACTCGAGGAGTGCGATGAGTACGAGTACCGCTCCGAAGCCTACTGGCGTTGCTACGTTAAATACTTCGGAGAGGGTGGCTATCACCTGACCGGCACCGTGAAAATGGGCCCCAGTAGCGATCGGGGAGCATGCGTGGATCCACGATTACGGCTTTATGGTGTAGAGAATTTGCGAGTGGCCGATGCCAGCATAATGCCCGATGTGCCACACGCAAATACGAATGCACCGACGATTATGATTGGCGAAAGGGGGGCGGACTTTATAAAACAGGATTGGAAAGAGGATGACCAAGGGTCGAATGAGTCAAAGTGACGTAGTTTAAATGAGTTATAAGTCGTACACTTTCTTTTACAATCACGTTTTTTTTTAACTAATCCTCCTCCGAAAATAAATGCATAAATTTCTATTCATTGGAGTCTTTCTCTGCACTCTGCAATGCTGCGTCAATCTGGTCAACTGGAACGAGTAGAGGGCGCTCGGAAAAGTTAAACTCTTTAAGTACGAGCCTTTTAAGAAAACGGTCAAGAAATAAATTGCTAATAGCTCTGATCCAATACATTTCGTGTAAAATCCTGTAAAAATGTCAACAGTCAAATTACTCTCGGAAGTGAGAGCAAAAAGTGAGTAACAACCAAAAAGTACGGGAACAAAAAAAGCATTTTTCCTGTAAAAACGTCAACCAGTGATCGCTTGACACTTTTCATGACTTTACCAGCAGAAAAAGTTCGGGTATAATCTTGCAACTTCATTATCTACACAACTCTCCATAAATCTCTCTCATTTACAGGATTTTAGAGGACCGGATCATTCTTCCTGTAACTTTCAAGTTCGCGAAAAAACTTGTAAGTTCATGGAGTACTGGATCAGAACTAATATTTCATGTGTATGAATAGTTTGTAGTGTCCAAGAAGTTTTGTCATCTGATATTTTACAGCCTGCTGTCACACTTTTTTCTTACGAAATAATGGAACAGGCATATACTTCTGCTGAAAATAAGGGGGCCTAGTGCTCTTCAAAAAAAAAAAACACTTAACTAGACATGGTGCAAACGGCCCTTAACTTGTTAAATGAAAAAGAGCTTTTTGGAAAACACAATCGTCCACATTGAACATTTGGAGTTAACTTTGACGGTTGTTTGATTACCAATAAAAATTCGAAAAAAATATTCAAAATCAAGTTTTTGTGTTTCAATTTGTTTTGTGCGAATTTCTGCTTCATGATATTAACGCATACGGATTACTTAGAGACTTCAAAATGTTTAGTTTGTATGCACTATTTATCTCTGCATACGATGAGACCTCATGGAAAATAACTCATAACCGCCTTGGCCTCTTTTTTGGCCGCCAGACATGCATACAATGTTGATATTTTTTAAATTTTAATATTTTTCAGAAAATAAATTTTTTGAACGTTGGCGTGTGAAATGAAAGCTTTTGGGTCTTTCTGATTGGTCGGAGCAGAAAGCTTTCCGATACAACACTGCGCTGAACTGGTTTTCAAACGAGTTAAATGATTCAACTGGTTCCATTTTCCAACAACAATTGCATGCGATTTAACTTGTTTATGAACATGTTTTGTTCATTTAACTGGTTCAAGCCCATTTAACATGTTTAGCTTGTCAATTTGAACGTAGTATAAGCTTGAATATTTTTGCAAATTAACGGTCAAACCACACCCCTTTTTCTTTGGTGTATCCATATAAAAGCCAGACCTGGAGTCTGTCACAAAGCTTTGCCCCGAATACCGCAAATAAAGTTTTCTTCAATTCTATTTAATTTATTTTTATATTTTTAGTAAATCTTAAAATAAAAAAATAATCCAAAGGTCAGTCTGGAAAGACAGATAATAGTTTTGTTCGCTCATGCAAAAAACAACAAATACTTTGTACAAACCCTGCAAACCATTTTTTCAGAGTATTCTGAATTTTAGAGAAATTTTAAAGAATTCGTAAAGATCTTATCCGATTTTTTGCCGAATTTTCTAAAATAAAATAAAGTATGCACATTTCGATTCTTTTACGAAATTTCGGAAGAAAATCGGTAAAGCAATGAAAATAATGCTGCTATGTGAAAAATTTTTTGCAGAATTTTTTCAGAATTTTCTTTATTTTTCGTACAGAAATTTCTTTACGAGTTCGTGTCAACCCCTTCATATAATTTTCTTTGAAGATTCGTAAAAAAATCGCTACAGAAATGAAATACTCCTAAAGATTTCGTTAAGATTTCGGGAGCTTTGGTTTGCAGGGAAGCGAAAGTTTAAGAACTGACTTTTTGCCAATAAAAATGAAAATGGTCCCATAGTGCCATGGTACAGTATTGTAAAATGCTATTCTTTAAACAATGCAGTAAAGAAATCAGTAATTGGGTCACCACTGCTGTTTAAATGCCTCAACTGGCTTAAACTCGAAATGTAAAAACACGAAAACAAAAATAATATTTTAAACAAAACCGTCATGACGAACACTTCGATACAGCTGCCATGCGCGGCGCAAAGTGTCGGCGCAGTCAATAGTCTAGTTACCACACTGTTCCAAACGATATTAACAGCACAATGCGCGCTTTCTGCAAAGTCCGACTGGCCTCCGGACTACGGCGATGAGGCACTGAACGATGGTATCGGGAAATACGATTTCATAGTTATAGGTGCTGGCTCGGCAGGCTCGGTTGTTGCCAGTCGTTTGAGCGAGAATGCCAAGTGGAAAGTGCTGGTGTTGGAGGCGGGCGATGACCCACCACAGGAGTCAGAGGTGCTGCAAGTTTCATATTTCACTTATCTTAACTACATCTAAACTTTTTTCAGATTCCTGGCTTGCAGGGTTATTTGGAGCGCACTCGTTATTCTTGGGACTACTACTCGGAACCACAACCACACATTTGTCAAGCGCTAAAACGTCGATTGTGCTACATTCCGCGCGGTAAGCTCATAGGCGGCACAGGCGCAATAAATGGCATGATATACGTGAAGGGGCATCGCCAGGATTTCGACGATTGGCTGGCAGCGGGCAATACACAGTGGGGCTGGGCTGATGTGAAGCAATTTTATGAGCGCGCTGTGAGCCCTGTGGGCAATGCCACGCATCCCATGGGCTATGTGGTGCTCGACGCAAACAAAGATGTAGGGAGTGTGCTATTGAACGGCGCCATTTTCAATGCTACCGCAGAATTGGGCGTGCCCTCCAAGTCGGCGTTCGAAGATGGCATAGAAGTAGGCACTGCATTCTTGCCGGTAACTAATAGCAATGGTAGACGCATGGCTACTGGGAAAACATATTTGGCCAAGGTTTCGAGGCGACCGAATCTGCATGTGATCAAAAATGCGCACGTGCACAAAATCCATTTCGATAGTAGCGGCAAGCGGGCCACCAGGGTAACATTTTCGTTGCGCGAGAGTTATGAGTTGAGTGCTGAGGTGCGCAAGGAGGTGGTGCTCTCGGCAGGCACCATAGATTCGCCCAAGTTGCTGATGTTATCGGGCGTGGGACCGCGCAAGCATCTTGAAAAACTGGACATACCGGTGGTACACGATCTGCCAGTTGGTTCAAATCTGCGCGATCACGTAAGCCTAATGGTTCATTTTAAATTTGAAAACACATCTTTCGACGCGTTGGAGCAGACGAGGCACATCGATTTATTATACCAATTCCTGACTCGCAACAACGGTCGGTTGGTTAATGGATCAAGTAGTATCACCTCCTTCGTGAACACCAAAAGGGATAGCGATTTACCAGATATACAATATCACTACGCACTAAACCAACAAGGCGATGTTGAGTCCCTCGGAGTTTATTTTGCGCGACGTGACCAAAAGTACACAGCGAGCTTAATTCGGCAATTAAGGAAGTCACATTTGATCTCCTTTTTATTGTTGTCGACCAAGCCTCGCTCCGTAGGCAAAATACGTCTGCGCAGTTCCGATTACCTTGATCATCCACGCATCTTTTCGAATTATCTTAGTGATCCCGAAGACATGGCGACTATATTGCGCGGGATACGCTTTATCGAACGCTTAGAGCGCACAAACGCCATGCGGGAACTAAATGCAACCCTGTTCCGTATACCACTCGAGGAGTGCGATGAGTACGAGTACCGCTCCGAAGCCTACTGGCGTTGCTACGTTAAATACTTCGGAGAAGCGGGTTATCACCCGACCGGCACCGTGAAAATGGGCCCCAGTAGCGATCGGGGAGCATGCGTGGATCCACGCTTACGGCTTTATGGTGTAGAGAATTTGCGAGTGGCCGATGCCAGCATAATGCCCGATGTGCCACACGCAAATACGAATGCACCGACGATTATGATTGGCGAAAGGGGGGCGGACTTTATAAAACAGGATTGGAAAGAGGATGACCAAGGGGCGAATGAGTCAAAGCGACGTAGTTTAAATACATTATAAGTCGAACACTTTCTTTTACAATCACGTTTTTTGTTTAACTAATCCTCCTCCGAAAATAAATGCATAAATTTCTATTCATTGGAGTCTTTCTCTGCACTCTGCAATGCTCTCTCTACTGAAACGAGTAGAGGGCGCTCGGAGAAGTTAAACTCTTTAAGTACGAGCCTTTTAAGAAAACGGTCAAGAAATAAATTGCTAATAGCTCTGATCCAATACTTTTCATGTAAAATCCTGTAAAAATGTCAACAGTCAAATTACTCTCGGAAGTGAGAGCAAAAAGTGAGTAACAACCAAAAAGTACGGGAACAAAAAAAGCATTTTTCCTGTAAAAACGTCAACCAGTGATCGCTTGACACTTTTCATGACTTTACCAGCAGAAAAAGTTCGGGTATAATCTTGCAACTTCATTATCTACACAACTCTCCATAAATCTCTCTCATTTACAGGATTTTAGAGGACCGGATCATTCTTCCTGTAACTTTCAAGTTCGCGAAAAAACTTGTAAGTTCATGGAATACTGGATCAGAACTAATATTTCATGTGTATGAATAGTTTGTAGAGTCCAAGGAGTTTTGTCATTTGATATTTTACAGCCTGCTGTCACACTTTTTTCTTACGAAATAATGGAACAGGCATATACTTCTGCTGAAAACAAGGGGGCCTAGTGCTCTTCAAAAAAAATTTTAGAAAACCATAGTAGAAAGCGTAGCAAATTTCTTAAGAACTCCGTACTGCTTAAGAAAATTTGGCTCAATAAATTTTTCTTGACCATATCTTGGCCGTCTTACCAAAAGCTTGTTACCTTTGCTTAAAGCTTTGGTATTACCAAATCGCGATTATTTGGAATTTATTTTCATATGTTTAGGTGAAGACAACAGCCAACATCAAACAACATTTGCAGACAGCTCACGAAAATGAATTTTTTATTGGTTGAAGGTGTTTCACGTTTTTTCCACACAAACGTATGTCCGACAATTTTCTTTTATATAAAGGACTCTGCCACAAAAAAAAAAATTGCTAAAAATTAATGGGATTTTATGGCAGCTTGAAACTTGCACTTCATTATACAAGAATTAAATGGTATACAAAACTGCATACCGAAATTCTGAATAAAAAGTTTGAAAATTTGGTGAAAATAAGCATGATTTTTCTAATTCTTATACAAAGTTTGAAATCTGAATATATATGGTGTTTGTTGTATACCAGGTAGACTTTTATAAAAAAAAATAATAAACGTTAAAAAAGACAAATGCCCAAACCGGCCAAAATATTGCAATTCTCTTATTTTGTGGACCACATACATACATACCTAACATATAAGTTCTTATACATTGAGTTCAAAAGATTGTATTTTAGTACAAAACGAAATGAAATTCATGTTCCTAAATATTTTTTGCTAAGGACCACATAAAATGTATGTAAATAATAAGGGTACTCATTTAAAAGAGCAAAACTCTCGCAAACTGGGCAAACTGTGCAATTTAAAACCCTCGCAAATGAAATGTCAAAATTTTTATTGAAAGCTATTTGCACAAAAAGGGCAAGTTTGCGCGGAAATTTTGTCGCGCAAATTTGCGCAGTGTGATGTGCAACCCTAATATTTCATAACAAGCCAATTAATTCGATTATTTGTTTTCTTTTTTTTTTAACTCCTTTAAATTAACTGATTTTATGAATTTATACATTTATTTGCAATTTTTTATGGAATCGGCATCGGCCGATTCTTTTCCCATAAGCCGATTAATCGGCATCGGTACCTGAAAAAAAAAATGGAAACGGTCGGACTCTACCTTCCAATCCGTAATCGACCCTTTATTCTCTGAATTTTTTTACTGGATAATTCTTACTGACTTTTCAGCGAACACAACTAATGATATATGTAAGTATTTAGCGGATTAAGGGCCGGTTGTTCAATGTCTGGTTATCACTACCTGCCGGTTAGACTTCATTATCGACGATTTCGACAGCATGCATATAACATGTGATCGATAAAGCAGTCGTTGTATCTAACCGGAGCTTCTACCTCCGATTTGTGCTAATCAGACATTGAACAACCGGCCCTAAATAACGTCATAGTTAACATATACCCTCAGTCCTCTGGTCCTCCATCATCGTCATCTATGTACTTCTAACCGTCCTGAATGTTTAAAGCTTCTGAGCTGTTATCAAAGTCACAACTTGAATTTTCAAAACCATAATTACTTCTAGCCCCGGACATAATAGTTATAAGTTTTATCGAAAAAACGTTGATCCGTAACAGTTATTGGATAAGAAATATTTTTAATTTCGCGATAAGGGTTATAACACAATTTTTACTTCTTACGTTGCCTGATAACTGTTATGCAGGAGAAATAGGTTTGCCGTCGCCAATAACAGTTATTTCCCAACGTAAATTGTTTACGTTGTTTGATAACAGTTATTTCCCAACGTTAATTTTTTACGTTGTTTCATAACGGTTATTTCACTTCTCCACTTTTATTTTCATCACATTTATCTTCATCTTCGTTATTGTTCTTATTTTACAACGTTTATCACGTATATCATATACGCGTTGGACAATAACAGTTGTCAAATACATCAAATGTTGGGATTCATGTTCATAAAAAAATCTAATTGCGAGTAAGTATATTTTGCAAAACAACTTTTTACTTTTTTTGATATTTGAATACTTCACAACTTATTTAATAAAACTTAAACATCAACAGCTGTCTAAGCACTTGCCGACTGTCATTAGTACTTAAGCGGGTTTCAGTGTATTCTCATCACGAATTCATATATTCATGTGGTAGCAAGAGTATAAAAACATAAAATGACCTTATAAAATAAAACCATAAGCATAACATGTATGCGTAGTCCAATTCATCACTTCATCGATCTGAGTAAAAACTAAGGGCATAAACTCTATTTCGCGTTAATTGTAATCATGAAATGGTGTTCATTCATTCAGTTTCTACTCAAACGCATGAAATGATTTCATGAATTGGCCTACGCATAATGGAAGGAAATTGTCAGAATGAATTACAACAAACACATCCTTTTGACATAATGCAAGCCGAAAACGTTGGTTCAAATCACTCCGCAATCAAGTTGGACGTTTTGCCCCACAAACATTGCAATTTTGCGAGCAGTCTCATTCGAAAATCTCATTTTTACAGTTTCATAGTTTCGGCTTATATTTATGAAATTCAACGAAAGCACGTAACTATTTCGGCTGAGTTATCCATTTTCGGTTATTTAGTGTACAAAATAAACGCAAATTAAATGAGTTTGTACAACATGGCCATTAATGTAGCGATAAGTTGTACAACTTGCCAGAAAATCCAAATTTTTTGATCTTTCATACAACCAAGACATAAATTCATTCAGGCCCACAAACGGTGCAATCTAGAGCAAAACAACACCAAGTTGAACCAACGGTCGGTATGTACATGTACACAAACATATGTACTCACGGTTCTTACGAATATTCGCATTCGCATTCGCAACTGCGGAGCTTCCGCATTAATTTTAACATTCGCATTCGCTCTCGCATACGCGATAATCAATACGAATATTTTGCGAATGCGAATATTTTGCAAGTGGACCGATGAAACGTATATATGGCAAACATAAAAAATTACATATTGTAGCCAATATTTTTGCCTGTGGTCGTAGGGGTATTTGTGTAACAAAATTGGTCAAATGTCATATTTATCAACTTTGATAAAAATGTCTTTAAAATATTATTTCTTAAGCTATATAACCGAGCTATCAATGGGCAGCCATAAAATTTCCCACTTCTACTTGACCTTTGACGTACGTCAAAGAGAACATAGTCCTGTTAATAATATATTTTTTCAGTGCTTTAAATACCTGCTTTGGCTTCTTTCTTTATTATGATTAAAAAAAAAATAACTACTAGACACAATAGAAGAAAGTGTGCACTGTAATTCTTAACAAAATTTTCGTGATTTGCTTTTGATGTTATAGGCGGCATACACGGTGCGTCTGACTCGTGAGTCGGTTTGGATGTGTTTGTGAAAATAAATATGTGTTAGTTACACCAACATGACTCCCGGCATGACTCTGAATGATTCAACTGTGTGTAGTCGAAGGCGAGTCAACACGTACACAAATGACTCGCGAGTCAGACGTACCGCGTATGCCACCTATTACATAAATTCGTTTGAATAATTTCAAATGGGGCTCTTTGGGGAATTTATTTTTAGCAAAAATTTTAAAAACAGTAGTTTTGTTTACTTGTTGGATAATATTTTTATTTTCATAGGGCTATACATTGGATCCTTGGCTAAAAACTTCTGTGGTAAAACTGACCCTTCTTTGCTATTTAAAGTCAATGAGTAAGCTCCCTCAATAGAGATTTCTAGTAGAAATGATCAACGTCTAGCTATAAAGAGAATCGCTGCTCAAATAATTAAAAAACTATAGGTCTGACCTTTAATTAGATAAGAATTACGTAACTATCTGTTATTCAAATGCTTATAAAAAACGGGGTGCTTTAAAAAAAAATAACAATATTCTGATCCGATTCAGCTGGCAGCCACGACTTTGAAAACAGAATTTTGTTCAAAAATAATAATTTATTTTCCATATCCATCTATTTACCTGGCTATAAGCATAAATTTTTCAGCCCAGTCGCAGAAGAAAGTATTAAAAATGAATTACAAAAACTAAAATCGAAAAGTGCTCTAAAGTTACAGGTTCTCCAAATTCTGAAACAACATGACATATTTATCTGGTTTGGCTTGTAAGCGCTGTTTAAACAACGATCTCGCCATTATGCTAGATTCTAATTGTTTTTTAAAAATACTTGACATCCGCATTCGCATTCGCATCCGCGGATGTCTAAAATTCCACATCCGCAACATCCCTATACAACCTTTCAAACATATGTACATACATGAAAACATTGCTGTCTAGAAGTACATACATATGTACGCCCATCAGTACATCAACGAAGCCCGTTTGCTTCATGGATGTAGTTTCGCGAAACACGCTTGCATCATTTATACATATATTGCTTGGTAGCGGCACAGCTGAAATGCGCAATGAGTTCGTTCATACA